CCGGGCCAGTTCGGTCAGCGCTGCACGCCGGGGAGAAGGTGGGGGCGCCGCGGCGGCGGCGCGGGCGAGCGGCTACACTGCCTCAGGCAAGAATGGGGTCCGTGCCGAGTCCTCCGCGCTGTAACCGGGCAGACCCCGCTGGGACTGGGGTTCGTCTCCCCCACCGGCTCAGCTAGCACTTGGAGGCTGCAGATTTGTGACGGAGGCACAGGCGAGGATTTTTGCTCCTTTGGCAACGTCAGGGTTAACTTGGGAGGGCTAGATTCCTCCCGCCACCCTCCCCGGCCACCCGTCTGCTTCTCTCTTCCCTGTGATCGCACGTTCCGGGAGGTCCGGGAAGTCTAAGGGTGGGAGGACTCAAATAGGGAAGCTTGGGAACCCTAAACCCTAAACCCTTGCTCCGGGTCCACTCAGAGCTCTGTGACCCAGGCTTCGTCTGCCAACGCCGAGTCCCAGGCGGCATGCCCTACCTGGGAGCGGGGAGGAAAAGAAATGAGAAAGGAAGAATGAAGTTAGCAGAGGGGTAAAGGCTCTTTTAGGGAAAGACCCGGGCTGTTTCCTGCAGGAAAGAGCCGGCTCCCTTAGGCAGGTGCTGGCTCTTAGGCATGTGCTGGCCCACCCTGGAGGCTGGGGCATCTTTCCTGGTTGCACCGCCAGTCAGTGTAGGTCCATGACCCTTCCCACCACCCAGCCGCTTGCCAGCCCACTTGTGCCCGTCTTGCTCTCAAAAACCGAGCCCTCTTCTAGTAGTGAAAGTTGCCATGAATGATGTCATCTTCATAAAGCAAAGGTGTAACCCAGCCCCAGGTCCCACCTGTGACCAGCTCACCCGCCCGGTAATAACTACTTCCCTCAAACACCAAGAAGGAAATGAACTCCGTTCTAATTAGGTGAGCTTGCTACAGACACCAATTTTCATCTCGCTCTCAGAAAGTGTGATCGTTTCAACTATTTTTGTTTCTTACCACCCTCCCCCAATCCCTACTCTACTAACAAGTCAAGATCCTGCCAAGATTTCCTTGTAAATAAAACTGTCTGCATGGGGTGTGATTTTGAAAACAGACTTCAGGGGACAGAAGAGAGGCTGACTTCTTTGTGGAAAGAAGCCTAGAAGAGTAAGCAGCCACTGGGGACCCCGGGTCCGTGTCCCTACTGCTTGCTTAGACCACATGCTGCTGTCAGCCGCATGACTTGCTAGGCACTGGCTCTGTTCTCTGCAGACCTTCGGGAAATGGCAGAAAGGAGCCAGGAAGCCCGGTTCCAGGGGAACCTGAAGGAAACGCTGGCAGAGGGAGGAGCTGGCCACTCTGCCGTGAAGCCTGGCAGCCCTGCAATGTTCTGACCCCAGCTGTCCCTTCTCTCTTCTCCAGCCCCGTGACAACTTTATCATCATAAGCAGCTCTGCTTTCCCCTCAGGTGCAAGGGACTCAGCGTCCTCTGCTAAACTTGTGAGCTTTTGCTGAGCTGTTAGTTGCAGAGATACTGAATGGATGAGACCCTGCCCCACTGGAGTGGTTTAATCAGGACCACTAGGCTTGATCAACACAAAGATGCATCCTAGATTCCAGGGAAGCCAAAGGAGGGGGTCTGTGTAGATCCCGAACTCCCCCCCCCCCACAAATAATTAGGCAACTTGGAAAGGTGAAGAAGAGCTAGTCTAGACAGAGAATGGCACAGGCAAAGGCTGGGCATGTGCGACAGTGTGGTATGGCCGGGGAACAATTTGGCATGGTGTCCCATGGAGAGTGCCCATGCCAGAGGGCAAAGTTATAAAGGCATGTAAGTTGATGAAGAGCTTGGACTTCATCCTAAAAGGGATTGGGAACTACTAAGGATTTGTGAGCAGATTAACATTTCAAAAGATCTCTCTGAGCCAGGCACAGTGGCCTCTACTCTCAGCATTGTGGGAGAATGAGGCAAGAAGACTGCAAATTCTAGTTTAGGGGCCAGGGAGATAGCTCAGTAGAATAAGTGCTTGCCTGGCAAGCGCAAGGGCCTGAGTTCTATCCCTGGTTCCGCAGGGGGAAAAAAATTCTAGTTTAATCTGCGAAATTTAGTGACTTAATAAGGCCCTGTCTCAAAATAAAAAAATAAAAAAATTTAAAAGGCTGGGATAAAAAAAAAAAAAAAGGCTGGGCTGCTGCTCAGTGTAATAGTCTTAGATTTAACCCTAGGTATTGAAAATAAAAACAAAAAGATCCTTCTAGACACTTTTGGTGACACAGACCTGTAGTCCCAACTGCTTTGAAGATTTAGGTAGGAAGAATCCCTTGACCTCAGGAGTTCAAAGCCAACTTGAGCAACATAGCAAAACCCCATCTCAGAAAACTATCCTCTGAGTGTAGTTAGGGGATAGATAGGAGGGCAGTAGCCCTGAGTGTAGGCCCAGGAGAGTCTTCCCAGGAGAGGTCCCAGGACAGTAGCATAGGCAGGAGAGGAACTATCTGAGTACCCACAGGGGGTCTCACGCCTCCTTCTGCCTCAGGGGCTGTTGCCTCACTGGCAGATAGTGTTCCAGAGTCTCCAAAAAATGGATTCCGGCCTCTCACCAGAATCCTTGCCCTGGCCCCTTCTGGGAAGGAAGTGGCCCTCTGGATTTAGAGACTATTAGGGTTAGTTGCTATGCTCCATGAACCCGAGGCCTCCTCTCCCCTGAAGTCCTTGGTGTGCCCTCAGCTTCTCTACCCAGCCCACTCTGGGGAACCTGCAACTAGGTCTGGCCACCGGGCAATGGGACAGGCATCTGGGGTCCAAAGGATGGGAGAGCCTAGGCTACTTGATACATTCTGTTCCACCCCAGTTTAAGACAGCCAAAGGACTGACACATTCTGTACAGGAAGGAGACATAGGGGAAGTGATCATGGCTTCCATTCACTTTCACTCACCAATCACCATGGGCCAAGCACTCAAGGATACCTCCACATGTGCTGCACACAGGCCTCCCCAAGAGAACCCTTAGGGCCTGGTGACAGGTGGCAACAAACAGTGCCAGTTGACATTCGTATCCTGCGCTCCATTTGGGCAGAACTCCACACCCATGACTTCATTGGAAGTCCTCAGTGAGACACTGTAAGCCAATGGAGAATAGGATAAGGGTTTAGGTGTGTTAGTTGGCTTCCCAACATTGTAACAAAATCCCTGAGACAATCAACTTATAAAGAGAAAAGGTGTATTTTGCCTCATAGTTCCAGACATGGCAATTCAGGATCACTTGGTCCCATTTGTTTTGGGCCAGTGGCCAGGCAATGCAATGTGGCAGGAGTGTGTGGCAGAGCAAAACTGTTCACCTCATGGCTAGGAAGCAAAAGAGAACAAGGAAGAATGGGATCCTACAATCCCCTCCTAGACCCCAATTCTGATCTAAAAGCCTTCTGCCACCCTCCTGGGAATTAAGTCTCTATTTAAACATGTGGTTCTTTGGGGGGAACCACAGCTCCAAACCATAGTCCCAGAGAAGAGCAGTTCAAACCACAAGAAGTCTGAGGAGGAGCCCCCTGGGGTCAAGAGTGTAGAAGGGTTTCTGAGCAGAGGGAACAGCTGTGGCAAAGGCGCAGAGAGGGGACAGCTGTGGATGGTGTCAGGAACCGTTAAGGGGAAGAGCACAAAGTGAGGCTGCCAAGGCAGGTGAGAAGCCCTGGAGTACCAGTTGGAGAATGCTGGGCCTTGCCCAGCAGGGCCTGGAGAACTGGTGGCAGCTTTCACCGGAGAAGCATTTAGGAAGATTAAGCTGGCAGCTGCTCAACAGTGCCATTCAACTAACATGCCGTGAGTTTCTGTGAGGTGCCAGACCTTGGCCAAGGTGCTGAGGCAACAAGGAGGGTCAGAGGGAGCCCTGGCCTCCTGGGAGAAAATGAGATAATCCTCTAATTACAGCCCAGTGGCATCGTGGGAGAGGAGAAGTCAGGGGCCGAGTCACCACTGCACCCTTCAAGTGAAGGAGGACTTTGTGTTGAGGGCCTGATGCCAGGAGCCTTGGGAGCGAGGGAGAGGGGTGTGGAGCCGTTTGTTTGTGGATACCTGAAGCTAATGAGCAGCCAGGGAAGGAACATTAAGGGCTGTAATTACCGCTCAAAGCAAATGGCAGTGCCGCCAGGAAGGGGGGAGGCAGGAGTGACTTTGCATCCAGAGTGTCTTCCACTAGAGCCCCTTCGGCTGCAGCTTCCCACCCTCACGGCTCCCTCTGCCTGGTCGCACCCTGCAAGGCTTCTCCTGTCTCTCGAGCAAAGCTGAGCCCACCCTGTCCCCACCTGTCACACCAGTCCTCAGAGAAACCAGCAAACCAGCCCCGAGCTGCTGCCATTTGCCTGCCTGAGATGAAGACATGAGTTATTTTTGACTGTGATCCAAGCCTCAGCCCTGAATTCTTTTGTCTTCCAGGAATCCCCCAGTCATGTTTGAAGTCTGCAAGTCCCAACAGCAGACGTAGCTGAGGAAGAGACTGCCACCGAGAACCCAGCCGCCCTCCAGCCCAGGCCCGGCCTTCTCCCAAGCTTGCCCCCGCTCTGCGAGATCAAACGGGACAAGGCTGCTAAGCAGAGGCTCTTTCCCTTTCCTTTCTTCTCTTCCTTGCTCTGCAGGGCCCCATATTTTCTGAGTCACTTAAATCATTACTGAAAGACGTCCAGGTTC